TTTAGATGCTGTGGAATGTTCTAAAATGTATCATATAAAGAAATCTAAGTATTTGAAAGAAGTCTCAAACATCATTTATTTATATCTTCTTTCTATAAATGATTTCTATAAATTCTATGTTCATTATGGAGCTTTCACTTCTGATTGATTATGGGAGAGATCACGTTACTTTTCCAAGCACAGACATGGTTCTGAAGTGTGAACCCAAAGTGATGAAAGTCACAGATGTTTTCATAAATTTACACTAAAAGACTTTCTTTTTTTCTTGAGACTTGAGTGCCTAAAAAGTAACTATTTAAATAAAACTTACGTGATGTTCAATGGTGCTATAGGCTCAAAATTCCTGCTCAGGCCAATAGGAATAACAAGTGTCAGCACCTCTGAAGGACAGGACATTTTAACTTTTGTAGCTCATTTTAGACCATAATATCTCCAAGTGTTGTTCCAGAAGATCTCTGAAGATCTTTAGAAAACATTGGTTATCTTTCTTGTTTTCTTGATTTCTCTCTCAACTGCCATTTGATACTAAAATTAATAAGATATAATCAATTAACAAATCTATATGCCAAGAAAATGTTGATTTTTCAACAACTGAAATAATTATTTATCTCTGGAAATTATAGAGGTGGTATCTCTTTGGACTGATAGGTAAAGCACTCACTCATACATTTTCCCATTACGGGATAATCTCCCTGGCCTGGGGCTTCCTATTGTAATTTTTCTTTTAAAGGATGAAGATGGTGAACCACTGGAGACTTAGTTTACTAGATGAATGTGGCCTATTGGTTAGAAAAAGGCTAATCTGTCAGAATTACCCTGTGGCACTATTCTTGCATTTCAGTTCAGATTTTTCAAAAGAAAGGGTAAGATGAGAGGGAGGAATTGTTTTTCTCTGAAAATCACTTGACATAGAAAAAAGTCTCACATATTCAAATGTTTCTAAAAAGCCAATTATTCACAGACTAAGTGTTATTTGAATAACTTATGTAAATATTTTTTCTAGGTTTTGCTTTGATCTAATGTCATGCAATGTACTGTCTATCCTGGCAGCTAGAGTTTTATGAAGTGCTTAATCACTTTATGCTTTAGCCTCCCCCAGCAGCTGTTTTACTTGACATTGTTGCAATTGCTCCCTGTTTACACTGGTGTTAAGTGAGAGAAAAAAAACTGCATTTGTTTAAATATTAAAGTTTTCTATTAAAAGAGAAAGAGGAGAATACTCTTTTCCAATTAAAAAAAAAAACAACAAAGAGAAATATCTAAATGGAAAGAATATTTAAATATCAAATAAAATAATAGGAATTTCTATATTCCTATGTGTAATCTTAATGTTTGAGTATAGCTATCATGTCAATGTTATTTCAAGAAATTGTCAAGAAATTTCTCTTCTAAGAAAAGAAAACCCAAATAATTGTGGAAAGCACAGCAGGATTTGATTTCATAGCTATTACAGTTCCTTTACCACTAGAAGCTTATTTTTGCTCGCCAACCACAGATAATATAGAACTCTTAAAATGGGGAACAAGATATATTTTTTTCTATATAATTTGAAATGATTGGACAAACAGATGCTGAATTAAAACATTACAGAAATAGGAAAATGGAATTTGAAAAGTCCTCTAAGATTTTCTTTTGTTTTCACATAAGCAAGTGAAAATTAAAAAAATAATTAAAACTGGTATAGTAACCTAGATGCAAAATAATTATCAGTAATCATTTATTTGAGACATAAAATGTCAATTATGCCCAAATTTTGGAAGGCTACACTTTCATTTCAGAAAATGTAGTTTTGCTTTTCCTCGAAGAGAGAGAAAGAATGTAGAAAGTACCTAGTTATTTAAGAAAACTTGCACAGCATAGAAGGAGAGTATATATACTTTTCAAACATATAAGGTCACAGGTCACACACAGAAGACCAGCAAACTTCTTATGTCTTGTCAGGTGTGTTGCCCAGATCCCTGTGAGATTCACAGGGAGGGAAAGGGTTCAATATTTCTCACCTGGGCTAGGAAACAAAGAACAAAAATAACAATGTTAATGATGCTCATGGAAAAGTCCTAAGTAGCTTCTTTCTAAGGGGGGGTGAATACCACCTGCCAATACAACTTCTCTTCTTTTTGCTGCTACTTTAATGCCAGTGGGATGAACTGTGTCAGTTAAGTCAGTTCTGAGGCAAGAACATCACTAGAGGTCATTGGCAGTTTTGGGCTCCTGCAGGTCCTCTGTGCCATCTTAGAAATGGAGGTTCTGGCCTTAATTTTCTCTTTTGTAACAGCAAATGTCTCTTTTGTTCTCTTTTTTTCTCTTTTTTTTTTTTTTTTTTTTTTTTTTTTTTTTTTTTTTTTTTTTTTTTTTTTTTTTTTTTTTTTTTTTTTTTTTTTTTTTTTTTTTTTTTTTTTTTTTTTTTTTTTTTTTTTTTTTTGTTTCGCTGAGATCTCGAATATTAAAATATTCCAACATTTTTAGAAATTTCTTTTAGCCATAACTTTAACTGAACAGTATTTTTTATGTGGGGAAAATAAATAAAAGATGAGACATCAACAAATGATTCTGGGTGTTTCTCTGGACAGTTTTTGTTGAGTGAATAGCATATCTTTCAGACACAAATGATACAATCAGAGCTTATCTAAGATTTGAAATTCTAAGGATAGCTAGAGAGTGTTAACTAAGGGCCGTGAACTTCTTGCCACAGACTATGGTTATCAAGTTAAAATTTGGTTAAATATGGTTATCAAGATAAAGATTTGGTTATTTTAATGAAAAGTCTTTTCATTCAAAAATTTCTGGATTTTATGAAATAAATATTTTTTATGCAAATATTCATGGTTTTATTTCTCTAGTTTTAGAAAATTTGAGAACTACCTAGATTTTTTTCTTCTTTAGCTCTGATATGTTTTCAGGTACCATTTAATTGCAAAGTCAGCGCGCTTGTAGCAAGGGTGGGTAGAGCCCCTCTCAAATCTTCGTTCGCGAAGCCTAGCCATGAAAAAAAAAAATGAAAAAAAATTGCAAAGACTCCATAGGCACTTAAAAATCTGTTGACTTCTTGTGTATAGTAGTGGTGGGGGGTTTTTTGCCAGTGTTAGGGCCTTTTACTCCAGAAAGATCCAAATATTTGTATACATTCAAAATATTAACCAGATGTATTTCTTTTTTAATTAAAATAATCACAGGGAGAAATAAACCAAATAGTAGTTATTAATGGAGAAAGAAATGGTAAGATTTTAAGAGCAATATGGAACATAATGCCCTTTGCATGTGAAACAAATTAAAGCATCTTAAAGGAAATTCTGAACTTCTTATCCATCAGAAAAAAAAAGGTGATGAATGAACATTTCTTATCCAGTGCACAAATACTGAAAATTATCTGAAAGCTGAGCCTTAATTGGGTTTTATTTCCTCTAGCTGCTTTGATATTCTAACATTTCCACTGGCTGCTCAGAAGCATAGAAATGGAGTTCTGGTGCCATTGTTTCTGTTTGGACAGCAGCACTGAACGTGGAGTTTAAATCACAACATATTTGTTTCTGCAGATATAAATTGTCGTGCCAATGCCATTTGGGTACTTTGTCTCTCAACCTATTTCATAGCCTTGGAGGTCTGATATCTTGACCTGTTTCTCCTTTCCTGTTGTCACTGTAGTGATAAGCTTGTGTCCTGCAGTCACAATGAGTGCAAGATAATATCTCCTCCTCTCCACCTCCAGAAAGCCATTTTTTTCCTTTTCTTCTGGACTGCATAGACAGTACCATCTCGTTCTCTGCTATTATCAAAATTGTTGATATCAAAAATTCATGCTAATATAAAAATCCATGTTATTAACCTGGCGAGTGCTTTATAGAAGGGAAAGTACACTAAATATTAGCTTAACTCAGCCCTCACTGTACGATAACATACTACTGCATGTTATTATGGTTAAAGGCCAAGACTAAGTTAGCTCTCAAACCTAAAATTTGTCTCACAGCTAAAATTATAATAATCTCTCAGACTGTTCTTTCTACTTTTACAGGTTTTTCTGTGGCTGTTGGATATCTTGGGTAAAGTCATATATTATTTATTGAATAGGATTTAAAAACAAACAAATATGAAGCAATTTTGTCATGAGGAATTTAAATAAATAATGCAATAAAATAAATAAGCTAAAAATCGTGTTAAAAATAACATTATATGCAAGATGGAATTTTCCTGAGCTAAACAAAAGATAAGCAAAATCTGGATTTGGGTCAAGTTTTGCTTTGTCAATAGGGACAGGATTTCAACCACTGTATCTCTTCGATATTTAACCTGAAAGCATATCTTTTTGTTTTAAGCATTCAAGGACCAAATCCAGTTAAAAGTGTTCCGTAGTGAATACAAGATTCATGAGTAGCGTGGAGGATCAATAGGGATCTGTTGTTCCCCCTCCTTTCAGCGTGAAAGCAAAGAGCACACACTGAAGCCAGCAGGTGTATGATTGTGTGCACTATGGTTGATTTATTTTTCATTGACTACTAAGTCAGCTACTGACTTTTGTATGACGAACGGGTTTTTGATGTATTTTAGTGAAACTCTTGAAGTTAGTAATCTCGTAATCCAGTCTGGATCTAGATTACAGACTGGTCAGTTGTTCCCCTGGTCTAAGTTTTAACGTGTTCCACAGGTCTTCTCTCTCATTTATAGATCACGGCCCTATTCCACACCTGAGATGAAAACAAACAAATTCACTTCTAAAACGCGTTGAAAAGTGCTTGCGGAAGATGATCGGACGCAGCAACAGGCATTTTCTAAAGCGCTTACAGGCAGCAGCCAAAGACTTGCTCTGTTAGTTTCCCTGGAAATCAAGCGAGATCTGAACGCTGATGGGGTGCTAGATCCCGCGGAAAACACCAAGGAATCACTGGCCCCCCGGGGTGCAGGCGGATCGTGAGGCGCGGATCGTGAGGCGCGGCGGGGCGGGGCGGGCGGGGCGCTGTGCGCGGCGCTGACGGGGCGGTGCCGCTGCCGCACCTGCCGCCGGCGCGACCTGCGGAGCTGCACGGCCCGGCCGGCCATGGCCGCGCTCCTCGGCCCTGGTAAGTGCGGGGGGCAGGAGGGCACCCAAGCCCCACCCGGACCCGCGCTTCCCCACAGCTCCTCTCCGCGGGTGCCCCTTTCGTGTCCATCGTCTCTCGTGCTCTCAGAGAGCTGTCGCGGTTCGCAGCGGCTCGGGCAGGGTCCGGCAGCACGGCCCCTGCAGCAGGGGTGCGGTAAGGCAGGCAGGGCGGTGGGAGACCCGCAGGTGGGACTGTCCGAGTAAACAGCCACTTGTTTGCCGACTGGAGAGCGCTGGGTGCTGGCAGTGCTACACGGGGGGGCTGCTGACACTGCCTTTGGGTTGGAGTGGAGGAACAGGGAAAATCAACAAAGCTGGGACAAAGAAGGATTTGGTAGAAGAGAATACGATGAGACAAGTATCTTTTTATTTCTGGCGCTTTGTTTTGGTTTATTTATTTATTTCTGTTGTTCTCCCTATTCTGAAAAGTCCACTATTGTAAACTTTTATTCCACTGTCAAAAATATTTTTAGGTAGTTCTTCCCGAGCTCTTGTCAGAGTAAAATTGGCCTTTATTACTTTTTAACTGTATTTGAAGTATATTCGGCTATAGTTTGCCATTCTCCTTTGGAGCTAGCTATCTTGCTGGTCTTGCCATTGGATAGGAACAACAGCTTTGTTTGATATTATTCATGTTTGATATTATTACCCACCAGAGAATAATTCTGCAGTCTTATGATTACAGAATTGGGAAATGTAATTCCTCCATTCCTCAGTTCCCAATCTGCAAAATGCAGGTGCTAAAATGTTCTTTTTTTTCTGCCCTTCTCACTTTAGATACGAAAGTCTAAAGAACATGGAATTTTACACCTGCCCAGTGAATCAATAGACACTTGCATAAAAGTACAGACATCTGTAGAAATTTAAATGTGTCTTCTTGTCAAAATAGGTCTCTGTAAAAGTTTTAGCTACTAAGATGCCCTGAACTCTTTTAAGGAGAAAACAGTATTCCAAACTCTAGAGTAAATAACCAAAGTGAATGACTAAAGTAATAACTGTAAATCTAAGCAATTGTATAAGGTATAGTGCACTGGATTCTAAAATCATATAGGACAGTGTTTCAGGTATACTTCTGGCAGTGTACTCCTCTGTACTAAGGAAGCTCATGACACATCCGTAATATGTCATTAGACCTAGAGAAGCCCTTTCTTAGACTGAATTGCCTTCAATCATAGATTATGCTACTGAGCTCTTTATTTTGCAAAAGCATATTCTTGTTTTTGTGGGCACAGTTTGCAGGTGGGTTTGAAATAAGCAACAGTCTGAAATAATCCTTAAAAAGGAGCAGATGCTGCTAGTTGGCTGCTCAGTCAGTCCTACTTTGACTATCCATTTTCAGCCACTGCTCCTCAAAAGCTGTTGGAACAGGAGGGAGACAGCACAGAGTCTTTGTGCTGTGAATCCTGATCAGATGTGTAAATCTTGTGTTATGTCAGTACCTCCAAAATAGGCAAATCGTCATCCAGCCAAGTACCTTTTCTTAATAAGTTCCTGGGTTTGTAATTTTGTATTGTCTTATACAGAGAGAGAGAGAGTAATTTTCACCTGTTAAGTATTTGACTACTTTTTTTCTTCTGTTGCCTGAATAAATAGTAATTTCACAATCAGACCTTTCGGAGGCAGTCGCAGAACTAAAATATTGTCTTAATGAGCCAAAATTCTTCCTATGGATGGGCCAGCTGCCCGTTCCTCAATGTCAAGAAGCAGGAGCTGTTTCTATCAATCGGTTTTCAAGGTTGACATACAAACACAGCCTAAAAGAGTGTTTCAGTCTGGAAGTCTCTGCAATCATCACCAGTCATGCATAGATCTGAGAACTGGCAGGAATATTCACAACTGAGGAAGGATTAGCACCGGCTATAATAAGCACATATGGCCTCTTCTTTGGCTTGTAGGCACACTAGATGCTGTTGCACCTGCCAATTATAAAGTATTAAATGTTGCTCTATATTTATCGACATGCATCCAGAAAGTGTTCCCTCCAGGAGCACTATTATATCGGTAAACATCATTTCCAGAAGGGATGTCATCACCTCTAAACAGTAGTGGTTCTTTAAGATTATTTTGATGAATATTTGATACATAATTTCTTACTCTAAAATGTATCAGTGGAAAAATTTAATTTCTACTGGTAGGGTCTGGACAAGTCTTGAAGGAATATTTCATGCCTTTTGCACGTGATGTTTAAGGAATTAAACAATGCTGCAAACTACTCAAATTCCATATGAATTCACCTAAACACGAGGGGGGGAAAAAAGGATGCTTTGTCTGGGAGATGCTGTGTCTTTCAACTAAGGAAAACACCCGCATCAGGTGTTCAGCAGCTAGTTTGATAAAGCCTGAAATCAGTGTCTGAAACTTAATTTTGTAGAAATTAAAGACACATGGTTACAAATGAGAAGCTGGGTTACCATGGGAATGTTGATGAAACCACAGGTGATTTTCCTTTTCTTAGCAAGGCAATTTAATTTTCTACTGATAGTCACAGGTGGTACTGCTTTAAAATTTTTTACCTGGGAACCTCCATATCAGTCTTCAGTTTCATAACTTTTTTATGCAATTAACAGGCTCAGTGCCCTCAGGGAAGCAGATAAAGACATAAATTGATGGGGAGGTGCTTTCAAGAAATAATGAATCTGTGAAGTAAAAACAAAGAGAGTGAAGAGTACTCTATTATAAAATTGCATTTATAATATAGCAGTTGTGTACCTGTCAAATCTCTTTCGTGTAGTTTTTTCATAGGAATTCCAGTATAGTCTAGCTTGGTGAAATTTCATGCAAATAAAATGCTGTTTCCTCTGAATTTTATACTGTCTGTCTTTCTGTAATTTATTATGGATCCCAGAACTGTAGTAATTTCTATATGTCTCTACACTGATGCCATACATAGCTATGGTTGATGTTATAATACTGGGGTATAACAATGCAAAATATTCCACACTGCAACTTTGAAATTTTAAATTTAATTTTCCAGTTGCAAAACTGAGGGAAAGATTTGTTCTGTTAAAAAGTAACTTGACAGAAAACTTGAATCTATAGATAAATTACATTACATTGTATATTTATAATCTATAAAAAGGAAAAAAGTGTGAAGGAAAAAGGTCAGTACAATATCTGCTGTATTAACTATATAACACTTTATTCTGTTTTTATAGTTTTGTTCGTGTATTTCACATGTATATCTACTGTCCAGACTACTGACTGTCTGCATTTGAGGGAGCAATGTATAAATGCTGCAAATGGATGTGAGAGTGTCTGGAATGTTGTTGAAGATGCCTGCAATATTTCAGGTAATTCATTATGGTGTATGCATCTTTATTTTGAGTTGTTGTATGGTTACATATTCATAGTTTATCACAGCATTGCTGTGGTAACTGAATGAATCAATGAGATTTCAAAGAGAAAATTGTGAACACAACTTTCGACATCTTTGACAATGGCCCCTGCTATTTTAATAAGTCATATTGTCTCTTCAATAAAGCAATAAATGAAATTTTTGCGCTATGAACAAAGTCAGAGTCTGAACTAAGTCAAGGAGTCTGAATTCAGCAGAAATTATGCTCTTATGGGATCCAGATAAACAAAACCGGTATGCAGTTGGAAAGAAGTTCCAACTTTGTTTTACGTAATTTGGAAGAGTTGATCTGATACCTTCCTGGAGGTGTTCAAGGCCAGGGTAGATGGGGCTTTGAGTAACCTGGTCTAGTGGCAGGTGTCCCTGCCCTTGGCAGGTAGGTTGGAACAAGATAATCTTTAAGGTCCCTTCCAACCTAAACTGCTCTGTGATTCTGTAATCTCACACAATACCCAGAACAATGTAGTAGTTAGAATAATTCTTAAATATTGCACTGGAATAAGAAACAAATCAAATAAAGAAAGCCTCAAAGGAAGTTGTGTTTTTAGGGAGGCAGACTGTAATTCTTCAGTGAATAGTACCTACATGTCACAATAATTCACTTGCAGGAAGTGATAGTATGAGAAAGTGCAGGTTACAACTCAGCTAAGCCTCCTTGAATTGTTGAACAGATTCTCACATAAATGAGGGCAGAAAATCAGTCTCTTTCTCTTTTTATTGCACTTCCAATATCTGATGCTTTATTTCCAAATTAATTATGTTTCAAGTAGGGAAAGACCAGGTATTATAAATTTGACCTGAAACTCATCCTTATCTCTGTGGTTGTTCAAATGAAAATGTTCATTTCTCCACAGACCTGTAATCTTCTTGAACAATTCTTGGCTATCATTTACCACCTCTCTCTTCCTTTAAATCCCTCCAAGACCTTGCTGTTAAATGTTGAGTGTTCATCTTCCAGGTGCTGGGAATATGGAAGTTAGCAGAAGAGTCACACTATAGTCTGATAGCTAGTAGTGATACCTTTATTGACTGATACATGTCAAGGGCCTTGATACGCTGCTACGTGAGCACTAGCAAATTATAGGGGCCAGGGACTCTTTTCTGACTGAATTCAGCTGTCATGGGCAGCATGTAGAGGTATCTGTATCTGCATGGAAACCTCCCTTCTGCTTACAATGACATTATTTGAACAGAACCAGCTATGTCCTGATGCCATAGTCTGTTGTGAGCCTCAGCTGCAGCTGAATTGACATTGTGAATGCCCCTCTGTCTGTCTTGATGTCAGAACTTTTGATTTGTGAAGGAAGACAGGCAGCAGAAGTTGCTTGGCTTCATGGTCAATAAGCCATTGCTACAACATTCACCTGCAGTGTAATCTACCTGGATGAACGCCTCTGTCTGTCTGATTTGTTGCATAGATTTGATGTCCCAAATGTCCCAAATCGCAAGGCAATATTTAAAATAATTAAAACAGAAAATTCTCTGAGAGGTCCTTCTTAGTGTGTCTTTTTCCAAATACTTATCTGCTTTGCACGGAATGTCTGAATACTTTTAAGAATAGATGGAGTAAATGAAAAATACATGATAACATAACAGTTATAACAGTCCCCAAGGAAAATCAGTTTCAGCCCATGTTCTATTGAGCTTTTAAATATTTCATGTGAAATGAAGTAGTTTCAAAAGATACGACTACTATTTGCAAAAAAGAAAAAAAAGTATTGGAATATGCAGTACTTTCAGGCTCAAGTGACCTAAAGATGATTTCTCTAGAACCAGACCTCTCCCCTAAATCACAACAAGTTGAATTTGCTTCTCTCACGTCATTGACAAAGTCATTAGCACCAAGACTACTTGACATAAAGATCAGAATTTGTGCTGTAGCCTATTAATGATTATACCCTGCAACCAGATGAAATGGACCAGCATGATTACTTACGTGATCTCCCCTTTGGATGTTCTGCGTTGTCCCATAATATAACGTTTATCTTACTTATCATCCTACATAATTATTCATTGATTTTAAAGGTATTTGTAACTCAGCCAGAGAAACCGTACAGAAATAAATTCTTCTTGTGATTGCTTGTTTGGTTTTGCATCTGTATGCTTCCTTAGGATAATAGCTTTTGGCAAGAACTCTCCAGCATTGCAGAGCACTCAGCTATTGTGTTGGGTGTAGGACAAATTATACTAAATGTGCTTATTAGTTGCCATGATCCCAGAGCATGTAAATCCAGTCAGACAGCCAATGGTACCTCTTAGAGAGCTCACGGAAAGAGAGAAATCTACCAGCAGCATTATTAGTAAGAGTAACATTATACTGTCTGTCATGTGCAAGTGTAAAAACTTCATGGATGAACTACAGGAATGGAAAAGGCCCTTCAGTTCTGAGCACAGATATATGAAGGTAATAGCCAATGGGGCAAATATTTGTTTTGTTAGTTTTCTTTATGCAAAACCTAACTACAAATAATAATTACACTCCTACTCTGTGATATGAGTTCAATAATTAGACTGTGGTCTCACCAGTGCTAGAGGGGAAAACCAAGGACTTTCCTCTGTAGTTTTCAAATGCAATTCCCACTGAGACGACTGAAGAGCTGACTGTGCAATAACAGAGATTATTACTCTGGAAGTGTCAGTTTCTACTCTGTCATGTTTCTGTGTGTGGTCCTGTGTGCATGAATTATGTACCAATAAATAAATCTAATTATGGATAACAGCTGCCAAACATTAGGTTAAGTGGGCTTTTATTTTGAGGGGGGGAAATGCCTTGGAAGCATATGTGTAAGATAAAATATATTACCTAGAACTAATCACTGTTAAAGCAGCAATAATTGAAAACCAGCAATAAAATATTTTCTGCTGTTCATCACAGCTGAATCATTAGAGTGTACAAACAGACCAGTACTGATAATAGGTTATTTCTACACACTTGTCAAGAAGTCAGGCAAGGGAACCCCATAAATCTGATGTGCTTCCTGATTCTGTCTATGCCATCTGTATGTTCATAGCCCTAACAACCTTCCTCTCATCTCTGGTTGTCAGCTGCTGTGACTCAGCCCTGTGCCTGACTTCTTACCATGACATGTTAGTGTCATGAACACAGGTGAGCTGAGTGAGGCTAGGGTGCTGTATAAGATATGCTGGGTTTTATGGGCTTTATTCTTCTGCCTCTATTCACGTCCACCCTTGAAGTGTCCTCAAGATATTAAAGAAGACAGTCATAAATCTTGTGAATAAGCTAATTTTACCCATGCCCCTCCTGATCTTTGTTTCTCTTTTTCTACCCATGACATTTGTTCTCCTGAAATTTTCTATTATCCCTTACTCACTTGATAAAACATGGAGGAGAATATCTACCCACCTTCTTGAGCCTCCATAGTTCCCATGTCACCATATTATTTCCACCCTAGTTTCTTGGTCAGGGAGTATTCTGTGTCCATGACCTTCAGTAAATCTTCTCATGCTCTACTTCTGAAAATGCAGGCGGCAAGTTAAAGATGAGGCTGGAGAGATACAGGCAAGCCCAGGCACCATCACCTCCTACTTTGCTTATACAAGGGTTTAAGTGGGAACAGGGGCTGGGAGCTGCAGCTCTTGCTGGCCTGTGACATTCCCCTGTATGTGCATATTTTGATACACCTCAAACCCTCCTTAGCAACAGCAACTGGAGAAAGGGCAGTGCAGACACTAAAAAAGGGGTGGCAGGATGTGGATGTGCCTTCTGGAATAGCTGATTCTCGTTCCTTCAGGCACAGGCAAAATGCAGTTTCCTCTTGCAGAACTTTGCCTAGACTGCTTTCCACTGCTGTTTGTGACAACAATATATAAATGATGTTAAAACTAATCACATTAGAGCTTGCCCATGGTGGTGGTGACACATGGCTTCTCACTTTGCAGTTTTACTGGAGTGCACAGTCTCTGCTGCTCCAGGCTAGAGGGGAAGCAGCAAGGCAGGAAGCCAGACAGCAATGTTCAAAGGGCAGAGAAAATAGCCGATGTGCTTGGTAGATTAAAACTGATCCTTGTGCTGCCCTGTGATCTGCTTGGATCTCATGAGCCACATATTCCTTATCTGACATACTGTGAGATACTATCTATGAGGTGAAGAGAGCAAATGTGCTGCTTTGGGGACTTGCCCACCTGTTTTGACAAGGCACATCATGGCTTTAACAAAATAAAACTATCTTAAATGATATTAAACTGCTTCTTACGTAACTTTCTTAAGTAACATGTGACTTTCTTAATGAATTGTAAATAATAAAATACTTTGATAAACTTTTAGCTCATAATGTGGAGGGTTCATTGATTTACCTTTAATATACAAGCTAGTACATGCTCTTTACTTATATTACGCATACAAGGAAAATATGACCTGACAGCCTGTGTGAGTGTCTTTGTCATTGAGTCCAAGTGCACACACAAGCAATGGACTTAAAACTGGACTGGCAACCTAGGGCTTCTGCATATTTTTTTATGTTAACTTCTCTCTTATTTTTATTTTAAAAAACCCTAAAAATCAGAATATTCGTGGACTAATTTAAATTTATTATCAATCTCAGGCAGTGAAGTGGTTTTGTAGAGTAGCTGTCCAAGGGTATATCCAAATGGCATTTGTAGGCTCGTGCAATCCTGACATGAGTGAGAGAATCTGAGTTAGTGCTGACATCTCCTCATCCTGGGGTTAGCATCACGATTATCACAGGTCTGCCATCTCTTTCCTCTCCCTCACACTCTCTTATGTGGCAGTGCCTTAGCCTGCCCTGTGAATTCCTGTCCTTAGTTCTGGATGTGCCCCTGCACTCCTTTGCACCTTTTCAATTTGATCTCTGTGCCTCATCTACTTAGAATAAAAGGTGTGAGTTAAAGGTTTTATGTACTTTGTAAATGAGAACAGATATTCTGGCAATGGGTCAGATCAAATAAAAGAAGGTAATATTGTACTCACAACTTTATTATATTACTCTGAATATTATTTAAACTTTGTAAATTACGACAGGTTTTCAAACAAAATTAAGTGCAAGTCATGTTCTGTTGGCAAAGCATATTATTTTTGTGCTTCAATTGAATTGTTTTATGTAAACATATCCCTTAAGCGCTCATAAACATTAACAACATTATAATTTTAATGGTGAGTTCTAGGTAATAAGTGCAAGGCAGAAGACACTGTTGGATGTAATAGAATCATCCAGGTCCTGGCTGATGAATACCCAGAATTTAAAAACTGTGTCTGCACTACAGACAATATCTGTAGCATCACGACTTTGCTTGGGAAACAGTGCAGCATTAATAAAGGTAACTAAACATAAAGTTTTAATTACAAAGACCAAACCAAGAAATTTTGTAACCCCCATTTTAACTGGATTCAAGTTTCTTTACATTTTTCTCAAATCTGAGAATCCCCCTGCCGAATTAGTTTTGTCTTTTCTATGGTATTCACATTCCATATGAAAGAAATTCTGTATCTGCTTTAAAATAATAATAAAAAAAAACAATAAAATGCATGTGATAAATTCAGATAGTTTCTAAGGCTCTTGCTCAATCCACTGGAAAGCAAGAGTGAAAACATAATGTGTTTAGAGGTTATGTACTCTGGGTTTAGGTTATGTATAGAAAGACACATCCAGCCACCTTATGAATAGGAGTGTGACAGAATGGGTATGCACTGTGGTGCACTTGTGTCACACTGCCTTGTACGAGCACCTTCACTACATCTGGGAGAGGTTACTGGATGTAAGAAACATAGTTACCACCTTCATAAAGCTGTACATAGTATGTAAAATGCATATTTTAAAATTTCTGTTGTAATCAATGGGCCCAGCTCCTCTCAATTTATTTTTTATTATTCTGAGAACTCTTATCCCTTCAGAAAGCCTATCTCTGTGATTGAGAATTACTCAGTGCACGAAGAAATTGCAGTTTGTGATCCGATGTCTCCTGGCATAATGATTAGCAAAGCTGACACGAGAGCTAAAATCAGCCAGTGAATGAGAGTCTGGAAAGTGAGCTCCAGAGTTGATTCCTGGCACTGATCATTCACTCCACGCTGGCATCAAACAGCATACATCAAATAGTAGTAGAATATATGGCTTTATTGTGGAGAAAATAATATCCTGATCTGTTTCTCCTTTCCCCAAACAAGAAGGATGGGTGTCTAAAACTTGACATTGATCTCGCTGGAGCAGTGGCTTTTGCTTCTAGCAAAATGAAGTAATTTTATATTTCTTTGCTGATTGAGATGACATTTCTCACTAGTATAGAAAAAAAGTTCATATGGAGTTACACTAGTGTTGAGTTTACCTACAAACGATAGCATATAGTGTTGGTAGGTACTTTCATGAGTAATTCTCCCTGTCTAACTTAAATTACTATTTCAGGTGATGAATGAACCGTCTGCTGGCATTGTGATTTTCGCTTTACAAATTATGCACTGGATTAAGATGATAATCCATGATATATCCAATCAGTAGGTGGTTAAAATGATGTGAAATATATCCCTTTATATGCAGTAATTTTAGTGACGATTTCTTTTAATACTGTTTGGCAACTGAATTGTTAAAGGGGACTGTACTATACAGCTAACAGCACACATGAGTAAGCTTCATTAGTCTGCAAGACTCTGAAATTATTATATGTTTAAATACAGCTCAGAATGAAACTAGGGCTGTTTCATTCATTGTATTGCATTAAGACAGTTTTGTTTTGTGCTGATCTGTGATGATGCTTCATCTTCCATTTGATTTATAGCTCTGTTTGTACCTATTTGAACAGAATATTTGGAATCTTTCTCAGGTTCAGACACTGAACTGAGTTTTAGGCAGCACAGAAACCCCAAAGACAAAAGGCTCTCAGAAGAATTGGAGAGCGATTGCCGTGTTGCAAAACAACGCTGTCGAGAGGACCCTTCGTGCTTTGCCCTGTACAGGAGCTTCCAGAGAGCGTGCCAGGCAGATGCAGCCAAATGCAGGTTTCCAATGATCAACCAGGAATGTTTGTCAGCATGGAAAGAACTGATGAAAACAGTGCTGGGACGGTGCAAGTGCTCAGAGCCACTTCAGATGAGATGCATTAAAATATGGAAGGGAATATTTAACAACCCTTGTGTACAATACTTTCAAGAGAGCCAACCTTCAGCACCCAGTGGACATGATGACGACAGTGATGATGACAACTATAATGCTGATGTTGATGATGAGAAAAATCTGGTCACTGACACAGGTTAGTGTTATTCCAGCAGTCTGAATGCTTTCATACATAACCGTAGTGTCCACAGTCTGTGAAAAAGGTTTTCTTAATCCTTTATAGTTTAACACTGAAAGTGAGTTCATTTTGAAAGACCTATTTATAAATGAACTCACAATATGATAGAAAAATGATAGCCTGGGTGCAAATACTACTGTCCTTCAACATGTTAATTTGATACAACCTGACCCAAATCACTCCATTTTAGGTTTTCTGTATGACTAGAAACACTATAAGACCATTAACAGTAATTTTCTAATAGCAAAAATTGTCTACGTGCCTTGACTTTAGGTCATGACAAGCAGCTGGTTCAATTTGAAAACTAGTCCTCTGATGAAGACTTTAAAGCCTCTGGCTTTTATTTATTCACAAGAAATCTGACTTTATAATGCACTGAGAAGCTCTGAAAAACTCTTCTTGAGTTCACAGGTTCTGTAATTACATAAAGAATGTTATCAGCAGCCTTTGATAAGCTGTGCTTTGATCTCAAAACTTATGAATATATGTAATAGAGGGTTTAGAATTTGTTAATGGGTCCTACTTGGTGAAGCTAATTTGTTTTATTCTTGTTCATTTTTACTACTGGCACTATGCAAGCAAGACAGCCAATACTTTAAAGTTAAAAAGCTAAACTGAGACATGATTTATCATTTATGCCTGTGTCTGTATCTTTTTCTTCTAGACAATCTTAGTATGGAAACAAAAGTACAATGGGGTTTATCTTCTCTCTCGAAACAGGGTAAGTCTGAATTTACTTATGAATCGTAATAAATCATTTTAGTTCTGTTTTCAGGTAGTGTACAATGTACTTTTAGATTAAAACTAATACTTTCGATTCAGATGAATGAGCAGGGAGTCAACAGATCCAACATAGGTAGATAAGAACTCAAAAATGCCAGGTAATAATCGTGATCCTTAAATTTACAGAGGAAAATCTCATCCCATAAACATTTTAGGGACAGAATTTTTAATATATTTTTGTAACGTTTACAGCCCAGTCTAGAAATACCTAAACTAATTTTGAAAGCAGAGAAATGCTGTTTATATTCTCTTCTACATTACTTACAACATAGCCTAGCATAACAATGGAGATTTCAGCAGTTTCAGGAGGGTTCCTTATGAGGGCCAAGCAGTGGAAGAGAGAAGTACAAAAATTACACAACAGGCTTAAAAGAAGCATTGCTGGAAGAGCTGGATCAGAATTTTTGGGAGTTAGACTTGTTCTTACTGGGAATGTTGCAGACAGGATGACTACCAGTCGTCACTTGAGAAAAATTTTCTTCTGATTTTATTTTTAAACTGTTATTCTTTTTAGTGTACACAACAAATAGAACCTGTTTGGATGTGAACAGGGAGTGCGTTGAAGATGAAGTATGTAACAAACAGTTGTCCCTGTACCTTAAAGTTTGCTCAGTAAATAAGAAGTGCAACATGGAAGAATGTCAAGCAGCCATAAGGTTCTTCTATCAAAACATGCCTTTCGAAGTTGCTCAAATGATGATATTTTGTGATTGTGTCCAGCACGATGAATCCTGCCACAGAGCCAAAGAACTTCTCCATGGCAAGCCCTGTGCAGTTACTGCAGTTCCAGCCCCATCGTGCCTGAACGTAATCCATATGTGTGAAGAGAATGAATCGTGCAGGTTAGTAGTAGAAATATTTTGCACAGGAAGGTGCTTTTGAGTAATGATTTGGCCAAATTGTTTTTATATATTTAAATGCTATATATATCATCTATAACAAAATTATTTTCTGCACTGAATCTGCTGTGTTTGACATCTTCACAGATGTTTGCATCAATTGTGGTAATTCCAGAAGTAATTTCACAAGTTAACTGAAAAGATTAATTTTCAGAAAGGTCTACAATCTGACGTGGGCTTTTCTTCTGCCTCTGTGTCATGACACATAACACCATTTCTGCTGGACAAACAGTACTGTTGCGTATTTTCATTATCACTTTCTCCAGATAACACCTGCCCATCTGCACCTTTGCTCTCTAGCAGTTTGCCCAAGTGGTGCAGCAGACCAGATAAAGATTATTTGGTTAATTACCTTTCCAAGTGCAGAGTCTGACCCTTTGTACCCAACAGCCATACAACCAACTTGGCCTGTTCAGAAAACTTTTGTCTTACGCCCTTGCTCTCAAGCATACTGATTCTTGCAAAAAGCTGGCCTGAAACATGCACAGAACATCAGACTTAGGAAGAATAATGCCCTTTCATGATTTATGTTTAAAAAACATGCAGTAGGATTAGCCCATGTTTGTAGTTCTACTTAATTGCCACCATTTCTGGATGGTCAGTTGGCCCACTTTGATTTTCAGCTTTGTTACCAGTTGCCTTGTGAATTAGACCTGAATTTTAGCTCAAAGCTGTGCTCAAATTAACCTTCAGTCAACATACCCGGAGGCCAAAAGATGATTTTGGTTTTGTGCAGATTATTTAGGTTGACGTCAGTGGGAATTGCCTCTTTTTATGTCAAAAGAATTGGGCTACAAATGTATGTCTGTACCTGTGTAAACATGTAATATCATAATTGAGAATTTCTGAAGTCCCCATTATTTTGGGAACATTAATTCCTGGCACTGACAATAAGTGCATATGATTAGCAAAATTAGTCTATGAATTATGGCTAGGCACATCTGTAAATCAGGAGATGAATAAAAATAATTCCTTTGAACAGAGGTGGAATCTGCTTTGAAAACTTAGCTTGTGTAATGACAATATTTACAGAGGTTTCCTAACCAGTATTGTAACCGTTTATGCTTTTCCATGTGACTTGCTTATAGCCACTACACAATATCAACAGCAAATTAATAACCTAATTTTATGATTAGGGAAAAATATTTTAATATCTTAATGTACAATATACAAGAGTTTACCTTTATCATCTCCTAACAAATAATATAAGTGCTAAATTTGTTTCTAATTAATATCTACAGATAATTAATAATAGATGTTTTCTATTGTCATATACAGTACATTAAAGGCCAGTTTTATTCCATCCTAAGAGCCAATAAACTGGAGATTATTGATCTGGGGAACAAGTTATTTCTTCATGTAATTTATCTTGGCTATCAATTAATCTTTAAGTTCAGTTGAATTACTTTACACTTTCCTGAGCCTTGGAAATGTTGTATTTTGTTAGCATTCAGGGGGACAAGGGGTAGACATAGAATGTAGATTATTTAATGTAAAATAAATTGAGTGTTCATTCTTCCTTCACACTGCCCAACAAACTGATCCACTAGAACAGCACCTGGTGTGCTTTCATTGTGATGACTGGTCTAATTCCCCTATCAGCACTTTTTCTCTGAGTATCAGAGACTGTTGGAATTCACACTGTGTTTTGCTGGGGAAATATCCACAGGTGCTGATTAGAAGAGCAGTTGCTTTTTCTCAGAATCAGAGCAGAATTTAGACCAGCTATCACTGAATATTGGAATTTTTTAAGGCTTAAGTGGTAACTTGGAAATACACTCTCTTTTAGTGGTGATCCTTAAATGTCTTTTCTTGAAATCACAATTTTTAGAGTGTCATTGTATACTTCTTCTTTTTTTTTTTTTTTTCACCAGGAAAAAATACACAACTTTTCAGTCGAAGTGTTGGAGACATGTGACAAAGAAATGCTACGATGATGAAGCTTGTCTTGAAACTTTAATCAAGGATGACATGCCCTGTTCTGCAAATGCTGATTGCAAAGCAGCCTACATTAGCAAGTGGGGCACGATGCTGCACATGGAGTGTACCTGCCAGAATCTGCCTCCCGTGGAGCAGTCTTTGTGCAAGCTCTTCCATCACATGCTTCACAGCAAATCCTGCTTCAGTGAGTTACGTGAGTAACACATAAAACCTCTAAGAATGATTATTTTTTAAAGTATTAAGACGCTTGCTTTCACCAAATCTTTACTATACTTTGCTACCACTGATTTCATCGAGATTTATAGTTGCAGCTTTTTTTTAAAAGAAGTCAAAAACCTTCCTGTCATTGGCCTAATGTTGTACTTTGGTACACCGTTTTTTACAAATAATATGAGGTACTATGTTGTTTTTCTTTCTTTTCTTCTTGGAGTCTAAATATTAGTCTACCTTATACTTATTTAGCAATTAACTTCATTCCACAGAAAATACTTAACTTTTTTAAATATGACTTTATATAGGAATGGAGGCTTTACGATTTGGTCTTCAGTAAAAACACTGGGCTTAACTCAGATGAAATGTATACACTTTCTCAGAACCAGTATTACCTTTTATGTGCTAAATAAATCAACTACTTATTTTTGGTAAATATAAAGGTCCTTGACAAGTTTTTAGTTAGGAGAGAATTGCTAATGCAATAAATGGCAATATGGGTACAAATATTAATGTTTTAGTCTGAACCAGGAGTGTACCTTTAAAGGAAAGCTCCTTTTTGTCCCCACTTATAGTGTCATGGGTCACATCATGGTGTGGTTCTACATCGCAAGGTGGTTTCCTTGGATTCCTGCAGCCTAAAACTGAACCTGAAGGTTCATCTGCCACCTTTGCAATGCTCCATCATCCAGATGTTTGGTCCACTGACCAGATCAAAGATCAGAATATCCTGCTCTCAAATCTCTGATCTATTACACTAGCTATTTTGCTATGTTTATATATTATACACTAGCTATTTTTGCTATAAATCCTCTTAGGATATATTACTTGCTAGTGCATCATACCTTTTACCAGTCATCTTCTACATGTAATTATATATATTCTCAAACTGTCTTGGGAGAGGTAACTGTATCTAAAGATTACAGTGAAAAGCAATGGCTCTTTCATAGTTCTGTCTGATGGACTTTCTTTTGAAAACATATATTAATTGTGTGCATTCATTTCATTGAAGGAATTAGCTGCTTTTTTAATTCTAGTGACCAAAATGTTACCACTGATAAGAGTGTAATTTTCTTTCCTGTCACTCCAAGTCTACCCAGAAATAAAGTTGCTGAAACACTGCTCTTAATTTAGTTGATCATTACTCAAACTCAGACTCTGAGAAAATATTAAAAATCATGTAACAACTCCCATGGAAAAGCAGGGGACACACTTAGATTTGAGAATACTGGCAGTGGTTTTGCTTTTGAATGCTATTTATTTGTTTTCTTCACAGCTGAATTCAATGGTCCAAATGAGTGAAGACATTGTTGTGTTAGTTATTTCTTTACTTAAAAAAATGAAAATATGATCCTCATGTCAGAATAATCAAATAATTGCTCATAATTTGCCATTCCCTGAAGCAGCCTCAGGATAAAATGATTTGGGTTTTTTTGTGATTGAAACTTCCCTAACCTAATTGAGATTGAAGAACAGAAGCTTACGTGCTCATGTGGTGTAACAATTTCCTGGTAGTTAAACAAAACTAGTTTAGGGGAAACAGGACCTTTGGCTGAGTAAAGGATCAGTACCTACTCTACATTTGCAGGTTATTGTGAATCTTGCTGCTTTTCTTTTCTAGATGCCTAGTTGTAATGCAGCTGAACTGATGATGGTGATGACTATGGGTTTTATTATAAGGCACATATTTAATGCCTTTATCTGAAGGCAGCTCAGAGACATGGAGTGACTACTCTGTTGCAGAGCCCACCCATCCCCTTCTGCTAACTCATTCATCTGGCCTGAGGGTGAACTTTGGATGACTTTCACTCTTACAGTGGCAGTGATTTTTAACACTGATGTCTTTCTGAACAGGCAAATACCCAGGGCTAGGAAAAGGAATCTTTGCCTATAGAACTGGTGTGAACAGACCCACAAGTGGTGTTTACACCATCTCATCTTCCTACTCTTGCATGGCACTGCCTTTGCTATGAGCAGATGCTCTCGGGGCTGTGCTTACAGGATTATATTTGCTGCAGACTCAATAAAAGGCAAGAATTGTGACTGGCTGCTATATGAGGCAGAAGCACAGTGTGGATCAGTGCCAATGTAGGATTGGTGTCACAGAATAAACAAAAATGTCAGTGAGAGAAAGCAAAAATTGAAGCTTCCAGAATATTTTAACTCTGGGTTGTACATTTGGATCTAACAGAAAAAAAAATTAATTGCATGGATCTGTTTCTATTTGGACAATGTTCCAGGCTGAAAATGAGCCTCTCTTATATTGTTTTCCTTCCTAAAGGGAAAAAAAAAATTCTCAGTTTAGAGTTCATGTGAGTGACCATGCAGAGTCTTGTATGATTTAGCCTCCTGCTATAAACTGTTCTACTTAGGTAAACCCTCTACTTTTCAGTTCAACAGAAGATGCATATTTTCAGATATATTCATGAAATTACGAGAATAGGCCTTTGTGAAAAAATGTATTGATGTCTGTCAACTCAGTTGGAGAATAAACTCTGCATTTTGGAAGTTACTTCTAAGTACAACCCATTTCTCATCATTTTATATTGGTTTGATGGGCCCAATTCTTCTGGTGGGCCTATTTTTAAAATAGATTATGTGAAAGAGAACTTGATCTATTTTGTGGCAGAGAATATTTTCAAAGTGTGCTTGTCCCCCATAAGACAAACTACGTGGGAGGTTTAACTGAGATGGGAAAGGAAAAGCTGTTACGCACTCATTCAACTTGTTCATCGAGTATCAGTAAACAGTATTTTTTAAAACTCCCTTTACAAATGCTGTGATGATTATCAAAATATCAAACTCCAATATTTTGAATGGGTAATTTCTTTCCAATATTCAGGTCAAATTTCCGTTCAGAAGAATGATTTTGGCTGGGTAAATACAGAAATGCCAGAGGAAAAACCTTCAGGAGCACAGCTCCATTCTTCTGCAATTAATGGTGAGTTTGGACAAGTCACTTCATGATTTCCATAGAGGTACTCTTGAAATATCCCTCATGTGGGAGAGAAAAGACTAAAGGTTGGGTCCCTTGGGTGAGTTCAGGCAAGTGAGCTCGACCTCTTCCTCCCCCGTTCAACCTGGATGGCTCTCTACTTGTTTGGCTTAGCTTATGTAACCACAAAATAAAGGTAATGAGACTGAACCAATTTCTCTGATAAGTGGTTTTGAAAAAGATGTCTCACAATCACTAGATTATAATTGGGGAAAATTAAGTTATTAAACCTCCCAGAGCCTGACCCTCTGTACAGTCATTAGAGAGCAGTAGTGATAATGTGTAATTACTACAAATTATTAGCTTTGATGTCACACCTACTTCTATCTCTCTTGACTTTTTGTGGTAGTTACAACAACAAAATTAAGAACGCACAGTAAGTGGTCTGAAAAGGGGCTTGTGTTACCCTCCATCAGTCTTTACCTCCTCATACTTAAGAAGGACACACAATTGCGGATCACGATATCCCATGGGCTGAAGAACTGTATCTGCTTTTATTTCAGTGCATTTACAGTAAGCAGTTAAGCAACGTAAAGTTAAAGGATACTGAATTAATATATAAATTTTCTCATTGTTGAAATAATATTATTTTATATTTTCTTTTGAGGGACTCAGTTACAGAGTGAGAACACTAGAGAGCTTAATGCACAAATACTAACTTAATGAGAATGACCTGTTATACCTTGTGGAGGACAGATTACAATAATCCAGACACTAATAAAAATTGGTTTCCAGAATTGTTCATACAGAACACTTTTAACAGTGAATAAAATAATTCACTCTCTGCACGTAGTACAAAATGAAGGGACTTCTGTCCTCTCCATCCTTCAACTCTTGCTGAAGTTAGCAACCTGGGAAGTATAATAATAGATTAAGGGAATGGGATTCCTGAGACCTGTATATTATAATAATAATAATGAATAATTAAGCATTTGGCTGTAGTGTTAGCATTAAAACTACTTAAGAATCATGCATGTCATCCAAGTGCTCTGTGTAGCCAGAGAAGAAAGTCAGGGACCCTCAAAAGAAGATTAATCCAAGATTTTCGGACTGCATTTTCTGCAAGTATTGACTTTGTTTTGCCAAGTACAGAGGGAGCCTGAATCTCTTGCTGGAACGAGACTCTAGTGATTAAATAATGCAGGTCATAATACAAGAAATCCTGCTCTAAGTGAGAAAATGCAAAATGCAAGTTATTTTACCCCTTTGACTAGTTCTAACTGCAGACCCTTTCAGTGGGTAAAATGTATTATGCCTTTCCCTCAGAGATTCAGATAAATATTTGCAAAAAGCAACCTGTACCCAGTTAATTCTGTTCCCACTGAAGTCTGAATACTTTCCAAAAACCTTTCCTTGAAGTCTTAACAGAACTTTGGATGGCCTTAGAAAAATAAAAAGAACGCTGACCAGCCTAAATTATACAATAAAATATTCCTTCTATTGGAGCTGTCATGTACTAGATGAGAACTCTCTAAGCCATAAAAGTCTCATAGGAAGCCAGGCAAGGAGAGTAGTTTGGTTCAGGATATCTACCTGATGATGAAAGCCACATTGCAAATTGTTTCGTAAATCCCACAGCCAAAACTCCAACCCAGCATCCTGGATTCATATGCTAGTAAATGTGCATTACTCAGCCTGCAAAGGGAATTATCATCTTCACAAAATATTTATCTTTAATAAAATCAAATCCCAAGAAGAATCTCAGGGTGCAGAGGCAAAACAGTTCAGTTGTCAAATATGGCCTTTTGTGTGTGTGAAGGCTTTTGAAGATACTTGCTTCTTGGCTATTTTCTGCTTGGAAAGCAGGAGATGCAATCTGCTGATGTCAGTACAATAAAATAGAAGAAACCTTTACTTAATTTGTCATTGAAAGATGCAAGAAACCCTTTCACCAGTTGAAATGCATGACCATCTACAGATGACAATGCTCAGAAGAAATTAAGTATTTCTTCAGCTTTTTCTTCATTTTATTGCTCAAAAAAATAGCTTACTGTTCAAAAAAACAGTAAGATTTCTCCATTCTACTCAGCAGCATTGAGAATCATCCCATTGGATAAGACTGCTTTAATAAAAGAAGTCTTTCATAATAAACAGTAAATTTAAACATGCATGCATATTTCCAAATATATTTACAAATTGATAGAACCACGGAAGTTGAAAAAATATTATTACATCTTTTGGTGCAAAAAAATGATACCAGGATTGTGTAAAAATCTTGACTGGATTTAAACACATTCCCATTCTCAAGGGGGAACAGGTCAACACAGTCATCTGTGGGCTGATACAACTCTTAACAAGATGTGATATGGGCAGTCATGACCATATAAAAGTTAAGGAGACTTTTGCTGAAAGCTTAGATGGGGCCAGAATTTTATGTCATTTTGGAAACAACATCCAAAAACCATTTTTGGAAAATAAAAGTGATGAAATCTCTCTAAAGATGTTGGTATTGCCTACCTAATTATGCATTTTCAGCCTGGTTTTGACTTTATCCCGTGCAAATTATCTTCATGGTTTTACAGATCCACATAATTTAAAAGATTTTCAAAGTAAAGTGTGTGAAGATAAGCATTTACATTCATCGGCACAGAGCTTTGGAGCTAAGTGAGGGGTTTCTTTTATGGAAGAGAAAGCAAGAAATACAGAACATTTATCCTGTTCTTGTGAGATGCAGTAAAATTGGGCTTGACCCAAGGCTATTGAAATTAATCTCATTTTGTCATAAATTGTAGTGTTATCATATATTTTCTGCTGAGGAGTTGTGCTGTGCTGAGTATCTAGATAAACAAGTAATTGGCGCAGTTTATCTATAATTATACCAGCTGCTCTGGGAACTGAGATTAGTTCAGCTCCAGTGACTTCAATTTGTAAGGTATGAAACATTGTCCATCTGACTGTTTTATAAATGTAGAAGAACGCCTGTGACAAGCTGTGGGTAGCCAAGAAACCTCTGAGCACAAGCTGGCATTAATCTGTTCGATGACTATGCCCTGTGTATGCAGAAGCAGGTAGATTTACAGTGGAGTGCAATCCCACTGACTGTTGCAGCTGTTGACCCACAGTTACCCTCTGCCAAGCCTCGTGACTGGAAATGCCCGTGTGTCTGTGTGGGCAGCTCCAGCTGGTGCTCCAGTGGTACCTACAGCCCCAGCCGTCGTGTCCCTGAGGACATCACGCCAGACATGGAGGCCCTGCTATCGACCTGCCATGAGGTGACAAGGCCCACGAGTTTCTCATGACTACGGGCCACCTCCACGGCACACAGCAGTGACCCCAGCACCTCACAGCCCCATGGAAATGCCAGCTATCCACTTGTGTCTCTATACATACCGGTAGTTTAACCACAAAGAATATATAAAATGCAGAATTAGCTTTTCAGCCACAAGATTTTGCCTCACGAGTTTCCTTACTTCTCTGCAGCGCTGAGAAAATATATGGTTTCTAGCATGACCTCATCACTAACATCCTTCTTTTGTTCCCAGCAGAACTTTATCACCGTCTCTTTTACCAGCAATTCACCAAAAACACAGCACTTTTTAAGATTTTGACCAAAAAAATAGAAACATTTTATTTCATTTGATCACTTAAGAGTGTTTTTTTAATCAAAATGAAACACCTTTTACAAATGTTTTAAGAAAAATATCACAATGTTTTAGTGAAAATTTATTAGCCCATTTTTATCGACCTATGACTGTTATTCCTAAAAACTTGTAAGGTAAAATAATTTTCCTAGCATTGTGGTAAGTGATGTACTTTAAAAAATTCTTTTTGCCTAAAATATGTGTGAAAATCACTTCCACTTCAAAAAAAGTAGGAAACTGTTACTCCTGCAACTGCTCTTGCACTTGTAAAAAGTTTTAAAAAATGACTGTGTGTACAATTAAGATTCAGAAACTGAAAAAAAATGCCTACAAATTACTCTTTTGCAAAAACTCATTATCTTAAAGCAATGTTGTAACTTGAGAGGTGGGTTAAACTGCTGATCTGGTTTTTAATATGTTTTTAGCAATCCTGCTCTGAGACAAAGAGGGACCTCACACCTCTTTCTTCAAAAATTTACTGTAATAAATATCTTTCAGTAGGTTGCTGGATTAAATGGTATGTTCATTCTGTGCATCTTGTGATGGTTCAATCATTGCTTTAATTTTTCTTGTATTGGAAAACTTCAGTTTGGGATAGTTTTTCGAGAAAAAGTGAGTGCCACCGTACCATATAAGCCAGGCAAATCCAACCCCCTTTTCAACTCCTTGCTTGCCCTGCTGCAGAATAAATATTCAGTCTCTCTTCCTGGAGCTGCTCCAGCATCCAGACAGCCTGTAGCACTGCATGCTACATCTGCTGCATTTATGCAGTGTATACAGAAATGTCTCATTAAGGGTTTGTGTGTGTGCATATGCACAAACAACACACAAGACATATAATAACTGATAACTTACTCAGAGACCGGAATTTGGCCTTCTCACAGCCCAGATAAGTGGCCCAGTGATGAGGCCGGGAATCCGTTTCTTCTTCAGTGAATGTTTCACCAGCTATGTAAGGTGGAGCAGCTTGGGAACAGCTGAGGCTCTCTACGTTTGAGTTTCTATGTAAATGAAACTTATTTGATTGTATAAACATGACAGTGCAACAGGAAAGTCACAGAAGGGTCTTGTGGTTTATGTTTGCAGCTCTGCATTTATGCTCTCTTGTCATCTAACCTCCACACCTCTCCATTCCATGACCAGGGCTTACTTTACACTCTCAACTGAAACATTTCCTCAGATATTTGATCAAGGCTGATGGATTCATTCCTTCAGGAAAAATAACTTTCTCCTCATTTGGAAAACAAAAGTTGAAACAGCTCCCAGTTTTTCAACAGCTGGAATTTTTAGCACATAAGCCACCTAAGTGACTTTTTGGTGAGAAGCCTAAGAGAAAGAGGAAACTCCATGGGAATGGGGCCCACAAACACAGTTTAAATCTAAATCCCATTTTACATTAATTTGATTCTAGATCAAGTATTGCTGCACACTGTAATTACTGTAATATGTGAAAAAGGAAAAGAAGGCTTGAAGGTAAGTAGGAGCCAGGTCTGCTCTGATACACAGAAAAAATTAACATTTTAAAATGAATAGGGAGAATACTCCAAAACACAAATCAGAGTAACAAGCTGTTCCCCTGGAGTAGAGTAAAAGGTAGTGCTACACGTACGAAGTGCTATTGGAGCTGGTATTTACTAAAAGAAGTTTGAAAATTGCTTTGTACCAACTGGCAAAGGAAGAGTTATTCCTATTGTTGACATACCACTCAGGTGTTTCCCCTCCTTTTAATTAATTATGTCAAAATTGATAGCTATTTTAGCTTACATATGTATGCATTCCAGTTCAGATCTCAAATCTGATTCTTATTACTGAGAAAGTAAACACTTCATGTCTGTTTTGTGTTTCTTACTTATAGGTGAAACAGTCTACATTATTGCCTACTCCTCCTGCATAGCTCTCATACTAGGAATAGTCCTGTTGACTCTCCTCAACATCAGGTAATTTGATAGGGATATTAATCACGGGTTCTAGGAAATTGGAAAAGCAGAAAATAAAATGTTTTGAGGTGGACACTGCGTTTATCTTTAAAAACAGTCCAGCGTGTCTGAGTGATGGAAAGAACTGACATTGCGGGTGTCAGCAGGGAAGAGTGAAATATGATGCATATCTACAATGCCCTCCATTCATGCAGAGATCCCGGGCTTTAGGAGGTTTCATTTCCTGTCCCATGGTAGGGGAAGGTGAAATCTGAATTCAAAAATTCCGTGAGGCTACCTTCCTAGCCCCATAGCAGGCAGCAGTAATGCAAAAAGGAAATGAGAATATTCAGCATTATAACATATTTAGAAACCAAACCATGAATGCTGGTATTGTAGTTAATATTCTTGCCAAATGCCATTTTTGCTGATAGGATTCTGTGAAGAACACCCATCATCCCCACCATCCTCCCCTCCCACCCCCCGCCCCATATGAGAAACTGCCCACACACCAATGCTTGGTAAGAAAACAGAAATGTGCATTCACTTAGTTAAATGAATATGGCCTTCTCTTAAATGATACATTTTCTTGAACAAAATTAAATGGCCAGATTTCAAGAATTACACTGTCAGATGATAGGTAACAGAACATGATGTAGCAGGAGCTATATATAGTGGAAGGGATACTGAGTCAAATTTCATTATTCAATTCAGAGGCAGATCAAAGGAATCATGTAGAAAAATGCAAAAAGCAAATCAAGAATATATGGGAACAGAGGCCTTCTCTTTAGGTTTGCAGTTACGGGAATATCAGCATATAAATAAAACAGATTTAAAGAATACAGAGGATGGAAGAAAGAACAGTGCATTAATAACAATGCAGTGAATTATTTTTTAGCACAGTGTTCATCATAAGAAGAGGGGAATTTTGCCACTGATTTCAATTAAACCAAAGTTCAAACCAAAAGCTGTACAGTTTATGGTTGAAGACATGCACATTCTTTGTTTTCAGAGCCTGCAGAACAAAATATGAGTCAAGAAGTCTCTTGCCAGACCATTCTTCTGAAACATTTATGGCCCATTATAAAAATCACAGATGAACTACTCTGTTGCTTATGCTTTTTAAGACTATTCTTGAAAGCCAGCCTGTACAGATGTGATAATAAAATATATATTAGAAAAACTACTATAAATTGCAGAATTTTGTAGTTAAGAATACTAAATATTTTTATATTTATTAGTTCATACAAAACCTTTCACAAGCTAAAAAAAAGGTAGAAGTGTGCTCTCTCTCTCTCTTACTTGCGTAGATCTGTCCCTGAGCTGCACATAGCCTATATTTTTAGATGAACATGGCAGCGGTATAAATGCTGTATCAGCAGTGGCAGTCTTTGAAGCCCACCCTTCTGATCTCAGCTCATCTGGAAGAAAGAAAAAAAAAAATCAACTCAAAAACATTTGAGAGAACTGATAAAGAGCACATATGTGATAGGTTTGTACAATAAGCTCCCAGATACCAAGTTCCTGATGTATTTGTAAGGCAGCAGGTAGGCTGCCTGTAATTCAGTGGTGGAGCACTTGTGGGATAGGAGAAGATCAGGATTACAACCCCTTTCAGATCTGAAATAACTATCTGAACTACTACTTTGACCCCAAAATGTTGTTGGAACTGGTTTTAATTTCTGCTCCAATATGCTTCTAAAAGAAATGAGTGCGGTTTGCCACGTTGAATACAGTAAGTTTAGAAAGCATTTTGTGGTCTGAATGCCCAGTGGAGAGAGCCACTTGCTTGTGGCTGAAGTGCCTGCTTCTGAAGAGAGAAGCTGTGATCCATCTCATTATCTGTGTTTCCTGTTCATTGCCTCTAGGAAAGACCCGAAGTGCCTTATTCTCCCCTTGCACTGTACTGGGAGTCATGGTCCCTAACACACCATTCTGGATTCCACTTCCTGGCTTTGAGCTCTGGACTTCTCCCTGTAGCTGAGTTGTTTGGCTAGATTTAAGCTTATGTTTATTACCAATTAGCGGTCTTTGTCAAATCTTGGTAACAGTCTGGTTCTGGTGAGCACAGGATAATCAACTGGCATTTCTCATTCAGCTGTTACCAATGAGTAGCACATGTATTGTCTGTTAAAATAGCATCTGATTAATTCTATTTTGAATGTGATTAATTTTAATTTTGTTTGAATTATCACTAAATGTAACTCAGCTCCAGTTTTAACTATGACAAATGACTGATGTAGGGCTAGAAATTTATTTGGTCAGAAAAGCAGGGACCTCTACTCTTCAGTGCGACTTTTGCTTCTTACTTTGTTAGCTTGTGAAATGATTAGTGTGAGAGCAAAATCTTAAGTGTGCAGTTCTGTTGGGGAGAGGTTTAGAAATTTTTACCAATTATTAAAATATGCATTTTCCCTGTCTTTATGATCTGCGAAAACAAAAAAAAAAAACTTGTTCTTGTTTTGCAGTCAAATATTTTGTCATTACTAAGTCAGCATTTGGACAAAAATACAGAAACAGAAAAATGAAGTTACTTTGTTAATTAAAAAGATCTCCTTTAGCAGTCCAGCAATTTGCAGCACTTAGCTTAGTATTTTAAAGTGGTATATTCTTATTCTCCATCTGAAAAGTAAAGTAGAAAAAGTTCAAACTTAAAATACTGTTGAGAGTATGTTCTCATCAGTGTTGGGTAAAAACATTATGTGGGAAATGTACTTATGACATGAACCTTGTGCTGGTTTTTGGTCTGACTTCAAAAAACAATGACACAATGCTAAAGCCTCCACATCACAAAATCTGAAGAGAGCCATTTAAATACAGATTTAACTAAACTTTAGTCAAGAACAAAAAAAAATCTCCTTCTTAGAAGCTTTCTGTTTTCTAATTATCTTATATTTAGACACTAGAATTACAACTCATATATGGGCAAAATTCACACTGTAACGTAAAATGTATTTAAAACTGAGGATAAGTATGTGAGTTACTCTGAAAGACAGCAAGATATTTAGTGGCTATTGTGTTGCTTCTGTGATTTTACAGGCTCTCTTCAATGCTTAATGGAAAAAGTACATTTCCTCCATTATGCATGTAAAAAGTATTTTTTTGATTTATATTTCCTAGTGATACTGCATTCTGACAATTGTATCTAGGTGTTATTAAATAAAGGAATTTCTGCTGGGATGATCTGTATTCAGGTGATCATGATTAGACTGCTTCATGAACAGTTTTGTGATCACAGAATCATAGAATTGTTTAGTTTGGAAAAGGCCTTTAGGATCTTTGAATCCAATCATGATGAAAAACCAGTATTTTTGTAAGAGCTTCATCATTAAAAATGTTTCCCCTGAAATATGACATCTTCCCAGATGAGGAAGATTAAGTCTCATTGATGACTTGAGATTCCCAGGACACAAGGTTTTTTTGGGTAAGGATGTGGCATTTATCTCCTTTCTGTTGGAGCTAGGACTTTGCAAAGTGAAGAAATGAAGACTGATTGAGCTAGAGAGAGAGAGCGTAATTTTTTGCCTTACAGCACTGTCATTTGAAGGGGGGAATACTGGAATTGTATTTTCTTTGAGATTGTTTACGCATTTTATCTGAAGATTGTTTCAAATTAATTGTGTAGAGTTTTTGAGTTAAGTACACAGGAATAGCTATTTTTATTAAAGCTACAAGGCTGTAAAGTCCAAATCTCCACTTTTCCTGTCTTGCCACAGTGAGTCTTGAATTCTTCAAAAGGAAGATTTTTCCTTAGCCATTCTCACCTGTTTGTGTGGTGCGAGAATGAGCTGCTTGGACAGACAGACAGACGTGAGCTCGACCTTGTCAGGCTGTTGTGGCAATTGCATCCAGGTACTCTGAGTTAGATGTCAGATCAAGCCGTAACACAGAAGATGGATGGAAGCAGCATTAACACCGTCCCCAAGATGGTGTCATAAAACAGAGAACACCATTCAGTTCTCTTAAAGAATTACTGTGAGTGTCTTTCCACCAGGGAAAATACAAACCGTTGCATTCAAACTAGTGAAGATAACTAACTGCAACTCATGCTGAGGCACTTCAATAGTAGCACGGGTTAGAGAATTTTGCTGTTGACTTTGCCAAGAAATCACCCTGATCAACATGTTGGTGTTTCAGATCACATGCTGAAGTCATTCAGTCTCCCATGAAGTGTGTAGGGAGTCTTCACCAGACATCACTTAGAGGGCACAATACTCCTGGCTGTAGCTTTTAATGTATAGTTAATGCAGGAAAGAAATGTTTCCCTAGTAACTTAAAAGAGATTTGTCTGCTATAAAAGCCCAGAGGAACACCAGATAAAAAGGTAATTCTAAGAAAAAGCACTCAAAATGGATTACTAGGTAACAAAGTCAACACAGGCATACATGTCAGTGACAGCTTATATTTGCTAATGCTGTATGCACGAGCTGGTTAGTCAGAGCTGCTGAATCTGGTGTAATACATGAGTATATCAGTTTCAGCAAACACTGAGACAGATTTTATTTCAGCTTTAACACCACATATTTCAAAATCACAAATGCATTTAACCAAGAGGATACATGACAGCTCCTTAACAAACATATCTCTTTGACATCAGTTTCAAAGGACTAAGTTGACTTTGGCTGCGTTCCTTCTGCCTGCTGTGTTATTGCAGCAATGAATATCACTGCATTACAGCAGGACTCTAGAGAAAAATAATCTTCAAAAACATAACAAAAGTATTGATCAGCAAGTCAAGAACTGAAAATCAATATCTTTCATTTACTTCTCCAGACTATCTATTTAGTCACTTTTCTAGATACTTCACAATCAACAAAGAGAACTTAAGGCAGTGTCAGAAATTTTCAGAAAAATTCAGTGGCAGAGAATACTGATTTTCAGGTATCACAGTAACTAAACAATATTTCTACCCCTTAAAATAACTGTGAAAAAATAGGTCTTATACATTCACCCTAACTTTTTGGGCAAGTATTGTCAACTGCACTGATCCCAAAAGTAAGAATTTTACCTCACAGACTTGCAGTCTTAATTTTGTGGTTCCCTAATACAATAATAAAAGTTTTATGAACTCAAATGACACTATTAAGAGAGGAAAATTAGCCAAAGCCTCTCTGGACTTATTCTCAAGACCAGAATATTTAGTTCTTCTTTCCATGAACTCTGGTTATACATGAAAATGAAACATTAAAGTGCTGGTCTGGAGCCAAATTGCCCTAATACATAAAAGTTTAAATTACAAAGCAAGTGCTGCTGGAAGACATCAGCACTGTCCATGTATGGGATCCATGTGATTGCTGTCTTCTGCAAGGCACTGAAGAATGATTATGCCCATAGTAATGGAACTGATCAACTTGTCCTCCAGAAAAGCACACCAGCCATGCCTTTAGAACAATACCTTGGCACTTGAAGATGATCTTCATGTTCTTCTGTGAGATCTCTCCAGTGACTCTGATACAGTGTGCTACAGAAGAAAGTCTCCAAAGCACAGAAGCTTTGGTACATCTAATTTGTCTCCGATAAGACTTGGTGAGTGCAGTCATTAACCAGTTCTTCCCTCCCACATGCTCTCACCATTAACAGCAAAACAGACAGAGAAACAGCATGTCCCCACATTCCAACAGTCTGATCACGATATTCAGAACTCTGCTGCTTTTTCTTCATACCTTTTCACAAATATAATTACAATTTTTATAATGACACAGTGATAAGAACACCTGCTCATGAAAGCCGTGATGCAAACCTTCTACAGCCAGAGGGTTACTTCATGGTGAAGTGACAGCAGAGTACTCAGTGGGGGACACTGCTAGGGACTAAAAGAACAGACACCACTACTGATGGGTCACTCTGGATATAAGCATAAAGATTTAGGAAGTCAGAAGCACTGCAGAGCATGGCTTGATATATTTTTGAAGGGGTGTAGCATAACTATTGATCTTAAGAGAAACGTATGCCTATTTTGTGAAGCTAAAGATTAGGTGTCAAAATGTTCTGCACAGTAAAAATGATGCCAACCCAGGAAAGCAGAGCAGCAGCACTTTACATGCCTAAAAAATTTCAGTAGGGAGAACATAAGATGTTTCAGGATTCTCAGTCACACTATAAGTAAACAAGGATTTCATAGCGATTGCTCACCTGGACCCACAGACCTAAATTCTTCCCATGTGGCATCTTTGGCACATAAACACTAGGTTGGGGTTTTGGTTGGTTGGTTGTTTTTGTTTTTTTATTCTGTGTGTTTGTTTCTGTCTTGTAATGATCCTGACAAACAATCTATTTGTCTGTGACCTCCACCCCAGATTACTTAACTCACTATGTGGTTGAAGCTAAATGTGTGGGTAGAAAACAGGCTCCAGATGTGACTGCTCATCTTTTCCACTGCTCACGTCATTATAGAATAACAGACCTGCATTTAAGGCTCTCCACAAGCTTCCAAGTAGTTTCTAAAGCAGATCCAATAAAGAACTGAAACATTTTAGGTTGTTCATCCCCATGATTTAATAGGTACCCTGTTTCACTGCATAGGGAGAGTTAAGAACCTTAGAACTGCAAACCGAACAGCCCAGATGCTGAGAAGGCTACGATGTGCTGTGCAGAGACACTCTGGAAAACTCCACAGTGTAAGGATCTCCTACAGCCAATGCTAGCAAGACTTCATGGTAGTTAGGAACACAGACTTCTAGAATTCCCAAAGAACTGAGCAGAGCTAGTCCTTTTATTCTGTAGTCTATGTTCTACATATGTATTTTATTGAACACAAAAATTGTGTTAGTAGCAAACCCACTTACTTATATCTAATATGCTGTAGTTAGTATATTTAACCAAAAAAAAGGACAGTATCTGCTCAGTTCCTAATTTGGCTGACAGTTAAAGCCCTCTTCACCCACCTTCAAGGAAAAGAACTCTGCAATCTGTTGCAGAGATGTCTTTCCTTATGATCTTTCTAGTCTTAGGAATTTTTAATTTCAATCCTACTCAGTGGCACAACTTCATGCAGATCTGCTAGAAAGTGTGGTTTTGTCAGTTATGTACATAGAGGGGTGGTTAGATCCATTGATTAAGATGCCCCAGAAATGTGCATTTGAATCTCCCCAGGCTGAGCAGCAAGCTCAGACTCACATCATTTTCCCACTCTGACATTCAGGCTAATAATTTAAAACGTGGTTTGCATCACAACTGCTTTTTATTTTTTTCCAAAAGCTAACTTCATTTGCATTCTTTGAGAAGCTAAATTTTGTTTATGTGGATGAGACCTGCTCACAGGGTCTTGGGTGGAAGAAAATTCATCAGGTCCTACATGAGAACTGCATACTTCATCTCAAAATGAGCCAATTCTGTACCTCCACAGAGAAAATTAAGAGGAAAATTTGTTGTTAAATGGGAAAGCGTTACAGTGTGGTTAGTCACCTTCAGGGATAAATGGCACTTAAAGTAGGGAGTATTTAGGATGTCAAATCTGGCACTAAGTTTAGGCTTAACTACTAATTATTAGTCTAAGTACAGCCTAAATACTCGTGCAGATTCCTCACTTCTTCATTGGATCTAATCCATTACAGAATTTTTAAATCTGTGAATGGTTCAAAACCTGATTTCATTTAAGTTCATGTTTTGATATATGAGCCATTGTGTCTGCTAAATAAGAAAGCCCCAGCTGTAACATGGGAAAAAGAGGACAAAGCTTTTTTTGCGAGGATCCAAACACGCATCCAGGGCAGGTCAAGCAAATCAAGATGCTCACAAAGTATCACTATCAGTGGAGCACAGAAAAAAATATAAGTGGTTTCTTTTGTGTAAGCTAGTCCAGCAGAATTTTGTTATCCTAAAAGGCTCATGACCTATGAGGGAGAATATCAATTCGTAGCCTATAGAGTGAAAAATTGAATTGTTTGATGAGACCTTGGATGAAAATTTCACCCCTTCTACAGTACTATAAACCTGAATGATGTTGAAGACCTTGACAGTTTTTATTTGCTTCATATAATTAGGTTTTAATAAGTTGATGAGAAAAGGCAACTACAGCAAATTTAACATACGTAACAAATAAGGAAATTTGCATTAGATTTGAAGGATCTGGCAGACTGCCACTCACCACAATGTCTTGGAACAAGCTTACATCCATAATTTAACAGATGTTAAACAAAACAAAAAAAAGTTCTATTGCTAAAAAATTCTTATGGTGAATTCAGATTTGTCTCCGCGTTCATAACACAAATAACTTGACAAATGAAAAGTAAAGATTCAGATAAATAAAACACAGAATGGCCACACACAGCCTGCGATCTCATAAACTACTGCAAATGTTTGTACTGTTCTGAAAGTCATCTTGATTAAAAACTAACCATGTATTCACTGTTTCCATCCAGTTTTCCTGAAAAGAACTAAAAATTCATTTTTTCTTCACTGTGGAAGAACCAGTCATGGGGTTCTGTACTACAGTCATTTATTTCTTACTTACAAATCATACAATTCTTAACAAGACAGTACAGAACAATAATTCTTCCCATAATAAAATAATTCTATATGTACTCTATTTTACTTCTTTGCTGAAGTGGTTTTCTTATGTTTGTTTTCCTGATACAAATGTTCTTGGTCAAGGCAGATGAGAAATGTGATCAAGCTGCAAAAAAAAAAAATCCATTTAATTGATAGTCCCAGTATGGAAGGAAGCTTGTGCAACCTTTGAGTTTGTTTTCTTGTTCAAAGCTGTGCAGATGAAATTTCCAGCTTCCATCACTGCATAAAGATTCACTCCCTAAAAAAGAGGTGAAAAATGTTAAGAATAATAAATGCACATGATGAAAATGCTTAGACTCCAATTTTTTTTGCTCCAGGGTCTAAATTTTGCAAACAATGGGCCTGATACATGCTGTAGATTAGTAACAGAGATCAGTAGAGTTAGAGTGATCTACAGATTAGTTACAGCTTCCCATTGTTCGGAAGGTTCTACCACTTTGAGAGTGGTTTCTTCTCTTAACAGCAGTGGACCAAAATGTTGGAGTAATATTTTTCAAACTCAAAAGAATCTGGAATTAAGAACTGGAATTACAACTAGAAGTTGGAAGAAAAATATAGTGTTTACATTTGTGCTGTACTTCTTTATCCCCCAGTGCTGAGGAACTTGGTTTATTTAAGTGTCCCGTCTGCAGTTCAGGAAAATGGATAAAACACATTTGCATTGGCAACTGTGTTCAGGGAGAAACAGGCTCCTGTATTCTCTTGGGTAAACATTATCTCCTTCTTGAAGGAGTTCCTTTTAATCCAAAATTACAGTTTACACTGCTGTCACAACTGAGCAAAAATTTGCAGCTGCCTGATCTGCCTGTGCTAAAAAACATGTCCCTTGAGCAACTGCTTTTTAACTAACATAAGGTACATATCAGTACTGCTTAACTGTGAAAATGAAATCAGATTGGTGATTAAAGGGGAAAAAAATACTTCATTATCAGTCTCCTGGATTACTTGGGTGTAGTAAAAGTTTTAGAGTTAGATTATTTAAGTGATAAAAATACTTGCTCCAAAGGTTGGAATTTAGAAGCCAGTAAAGTTCCTGTAGAACGGATGCAAAAGGGGACTTGGACTACAAATACACTGAGGAGTCACACAAAATTGGGAGAAAGGTGTCACTCAGCATTAAAGAGTACAAGGTGTATTGCAGCAGAAATACATTTTCATCACACTTCCAGACTGATGTACTAAAGTCCAGACCAAGACCTGATTTAAATACTTAATCCCCTAATTTGTTCTAGCACTTATTTCCATGTACTTTGATAAACTTGGTCTTTTTCATACTTGGAATTGGCTAAAAATGTTAATGAAAATAGAAATTACTTAACAGAAGAAAAACATGTAAAACATTTGGTCATTGCTTAGGTTTAGTTTGTAAAGCCCTATTGCACATAATGTGATACAAAAAAATTTTAATGCATCTGTGCTTTTTAAACAAGGCAGAAATGAGCAACATACCACCGTAGATATATTTGGTAGTTAGATGATGGAAGATGTCAAAATAAACTCCCCAAACTATCCAATATTCATGTAACACTGCATAATGTGATATGTGTTGATAAGAAACATACGTTCACAGTTCACATTCATTAAATGGAGTATATGTGCATCTCTGCTTTTTAAACTATCTTATGCAAGTAGTGTGAACCAAAGAGGATTACCATGAGGGCACAATATGTGGCATGGATGAGCATCACTCACAGATAAGAATGGGGCAAGAGTAGTGACAGGGGTTTGTAAGGGTGTTGAGCCAAAATAACTTGTCTTCAGATAGATACTTAGAATATACTGTGTAGTAAACATTCCATATCTCCAGAATTACTCTTTGATACCAAGGCATGAAACAAANAAAAACAAAACCAAAAACGAACAAAAAAAACCCCAAACAAAACAAAAAACCACACACCAAAACAAAACAAAACAAAACAATCAAAAAAAAACCCAACAACAACAACAAAAAAACCAAAACAAAACAAAGAAAAGTGCCAGTAGTATCTGTGTATTTGGACAAGTGCCTTAAGTTAGACAGAAGGCAAAATCCTTTAATTCCCATGAACTTCAAAACATTTAGCCTGCCAGAGATTATTTTCATGGGTCACTTCTTGATTACATGTTCTGAAGAACAGTATAGAAGAAGAATCAGTTATTATTTTGATGTATCTGGTCAATCTGAACTCATTAATGTATGATTAAATACTGTCCATCCTTTGCTTGACACTTCGACTGACTTCAGTCAACAAACTGAAAGCTTTAGTGCATAGCTGAGATGAACATGAGAAAGTGCTCCTTGCAAATGGACAGCATTAGCAATTAAAATTTCATTTTGTGCCATTACACAAAAAGGAACATATTAATAGATTTGTGCAATAACGATTTTACAGAACTGGCAACGGTACCAAAAACAACCAAAAGCTTTGTAGACCAAAGCTCATATATTAAAGTAATAACTTTGAGGCTCCAAGTGTCTCATCCAGTAACACACACTTTATTTAATGGGCCGGAAAGGATTCAAGAAGCTAAGCTTTGTGTTTTTCTTTTGTATAATCCAGAATTTAACAAAACCACCAACAAAGACAACAAAACAAAAGGACAACTAAATGTTTCATGGTGAGATTCTCTCCATGGGATTTGGTATCAATCTTCAGGACGAGCTAGATTCCTGCTTGGACACCAGACCATTAACAAATTAATCAATCTTATCAAGAAGCCTGGGCCAAGGTATATTTCGTATAATCAAACTTTTTATTTAATTGCTTCATTTTGCTATGAGTCAGTTGGAAAGGCCAGTTGGTATTTTGCCCAAGGAAAGACTACACTGAAAGCCTAAGTCTTACAGTGCAGAGCAATGTAAAGTGAAATGCATGATTTCTCCTCCTTATTTCAAGGGCCTGTGCTATTTCCAAAGAATAAACATCATGTGTCCCGAAGTGTGTACAAACAGTTCAAAATAGAGTCCACTTGTAAAATGGACAGTTGTGATTGAACCTTTTCTAAACAGGTGTCTGACATCTACTCAGAATTCCCTAAAAAGCAAATGAGAGCAGATGATAAACTTTTACAGTGAACTCTGTAAGGCACTGATTATGCTTTAACAGGGAATGAACAATTCAGAAACAAGTTCTATAATCCTTTTATGTCAAGGAACTCTATCAGCATGTATACCACACTGAACTGCAGCCTACAAACAAGTGATAAGCTCCTCAATAACTCAGATCTTCATATTTCAGACATCAGACATTTCAAGTTCTTTCTGCAGTAGTTTAAATGCAAACCACACACTTTGCAGTTTTGGCAGCTCTTTAAATGTTCTGCTTTGAAGTTGACTCTCAGAGTCTGTGTATCAATTAAAGTCACTGTAATGCCTGAATTAGCACAAACACGTGTCACATTTCGAGATCAACAGTGGCCAACAGGAAGACCAAAGAGCACACATTCATTAGAGAAGGTGGGATTAATTGGTTCTCATGAATACAGAATAATTAACTTGCCAGCCATGCCGGGTAAGTGCAGCTCAGTGCAGATAAGCTGCTTTCCCCTCTACGCCAAGAACAGAACTGGAAATAAAAATTACTGTGAAGCCTGCTAGGCAGTAACAGGTTTTGTACAATTTTGAAATATATTAAGTGGATACCTGAGAAATAACGATCACCACAATTTTTTTTCAACTTTGAAGCCAGAAAAATTGACAACAAATTAATAAGCACTATGAACCAAAACCAAAACTGTGACAAAAGCTGAGATCCACTAAGTCTTTCCACTGTAGAGCTGATAAGCCTTCTGGAGCAATGTCTACAGTAAGAATGTTTTGTGGCTACTGAGGCAGAACAATAACTCAAAGCAGGTGCTACTAAGCTCTGCTCTGCTACCATAGCTCCAGGTAGGGAGAGGGAGATTATTCAAATAATGTTAAATACACAAATCAATTCTACTCTAAATTGCTAATGAAGATGACATCATTCATCTTAAGTGTCAAGCCATGTCAAAGCACTGAGTTTGCACAAGTAATTGGCAGGTATGTATTGTATGTTTTCTAGAAAAGTATTTTTGTTTTTCCTAAAGTCGAAAGTAGAAAGTAAAAATATCTTACTGTATTGATCCCCAGACCATTAAGCATGTATATCACATCCTCTGTGGCTACATTTCCAGTAGCACCTTTTGCATAGGGACAACCACCAAGTCCTGAAACAGATGAATCCACTACAGAAACTCCCATCTGGAAAATAACAACACAAAAACGAAACATCAGCACTAATTATTAATTATATTCATTGATAAATGACAAGCCATATGTATTAGTTACATGCAAAAAATATGCACTTCTCCAAAAATGGATGTGTTCCTTGGAGGAAGTTCCTTGTAATGGAACAATTAGTCCTGACATCTTTATAAGGTAAGACTTCTCAAACACAGGATATGAAACAAAGAACTAACAGTCCATAATATATGATTTTGACAGATAGCAGCAGATTGCTGCTTTAGAGTCAAACAGAGGTTTATGCTTTTTCTCTCTTTATCTTCCAACATATTTTTAAATAGCCTCCATCTATTCTTGCAAAGGCTTTCATTGAACCAAACACAATCAGTGGAAGTTCTCCTTAGATACAGGTTCTGAGCTTTACTTTGAATATTTTTAAGGGAGTAATTGGTGTATGGTGTTAAGCTTTCTCATTTAACTAGTCTTAAATTAAGACTTGAAAAAACACTCAGCTGTCATAAATTCATAATTCTCTGATTTTTATTTTCTTACTGCTGCACCCAAGTGCCTTCTTTCTTCTGATCCTCTCAGCATATTCATGATAAAAAATAGTAAACTAGTTACCAACTCTGCCTACCAGGTAACACTACATTTCCTATGGGATAAAGCCTTCCCAGGAAGACAGATATGGGAGGGAAAAAAACCTGAGCCTGTAATTTCCACTGATTTGAGTGAGCTCTTGCACCCTCTTCATTCTGTAATTAGATTTTAAAATAAAGCTGAAATTTGGAAGAGATCTTCTTCTGTTACAACATATTAGCTATGTGATCCAGGACACGGGGTCTCCCTTGTCAGACAAAGCTTTTCAGTCTTACCCTTGAAGAAGATCAGATGCCTCTGGAGGCATTCAGGCTCTAGAGATAATCAGAAGCAGACAAGGGTATTAGGCAGAACAATTATCAGCTCTTCAAAAACACCAGCTTCTTTCTATCTTAAGCACACTTGAGGGTTCTCCTCACAGGGTTAATTTAGGCAGACATACACCAAAACTCTGAAGGAGTTTTGGAGTTTAGAAGGAGTTTAGAAGGAGAAGTCAGGCAGACTGAATCAGAGTGCAGTCACAGCTCAAATTCAGGATAGGAGTTACTGTGCAGAGATAAGTTTTGAGAATTCCAATTTTGAGTTTGGGTCCAGAGAAATTCATTTGTTGCTGCTAACTAACATGCCTGTTAGTTGCATTTGCAAGTCAGTAAGATCTGCTTTGAGGCCTGGCTGAACAGAGAGCTGATTTCCCTTCTGAGGGACTTACCTGCCCCTGCAGGCTAGTTTGGGAGCCTGAGCCTCTCCTTCACAGCCATGCACACAACTAGCTGGCAAGGTAGGCAAATGATACGTCCTGCATTTTGCAGTTGCTAAGACCCCTATCCAAATAAACCCATCAGATGTTTTGGGGCTTTTTTTTTTAGTTCTGAAATAAACTTCTCTAATGTTTTGTTATACTTGCTTCTACTTTTAACAATGCTTTCCATAGTTTATCATTGGCCTTACAGGCTCTTTGAAGTTCCAGCATTTCTGGAGGGGAATAATAAAGAGTAACCCAATGAAGTGCTGTTCCAGGTCCCATTCTTGGAGAATATTATCTTGAGCTAGATAGCTGCTCAAAGCCTGTAATAAAGACCTCAAAGGAGTTGAGATGCATAACTGACAGGCAAGTCAGTATTGTTTAATATTGCTCACACACTAAGACTCTCTAAGAAGGGATATTGTACTTTAAAGTACGCTAATCTGTGACTTATGGAGTGAATCACCAAAGTACATGTTTCAAATATTGGTCACTTGTTACACACTTTGTGTAACCCACCGGTCAGAAAATGTGTTACGGGCACATCTGTGTCTAATACGCAAAGGATATGCATTTATGATAGCTTTCAGTTGGAAATTCTCTCTCTTTTTGCATTAGCTGCTAAGAGTCATGCATTTATGCTGGAAGTCATTGCTACAAGCTTCACAGTGGCAACTTTCAGGCTTGCAAGTGTCCCCACATTAGGCCTCTTAGTGGAAAGATTTAGAGTATGGTAAGATTCTGCAGAGAAGGGTGTCTAACATGTGGATGTGCGGGTTGATACATGCATGCATGCCACTACCATGTCTGTTCTTTAAGTTTAAGACTTCCATTAGAAATTTCTGTTCCAGAGATGAAACGATAGAAAGTCTTCTCTATGGTGACTCGTGACAGGACCTGAGGGAATGGCATGAAGTTGTGTCAAGGGAGGTTTAGGTTGGATATTAGAAAAAGGTTCTTCACCCAGAGGGTGGTTGGGCACTGGAACAGGCTCCCCAGGGAAGTGGTCACAGCAAAAAGCCTGACAGAGTTCAAGAAGTGTTTGGATGATACTCTCAGACTCTTGAGGATGATGCTGTGCAGAGTTCAAGAAGTGTTTGGATGATACTCTCAGACTCTTGAGGGTGATGCTGTGCAGGGCCAAGAGCTGGACTTGATGATCCTTATGGGTCCCTTCCAACTCAGCATATTCTGTGTTCTGTGAAGAAATCAGCTGGAGTTTTCCCCAGACTGTAACTTCTAGGGCATTCTTCTTGATGTACTTATTTTCAGTAACTTCTACATGGTGATAAAAGCTGTAGGCAAATAATGTGCTAAGGTACATCACAGCTGTTAAACTCCCAAGGAAGATCAGCAGACTCAGAAACAGCTTCAGTAGCATATAAAGAGTCACTTTCTAATCCCAGTGAATTATCTCATTAAATGCTTGTCTTTGTGCAAGTATCGGAAAAAATATCAAGTAAATTGTTCTTGTTGAAAAATAGCCAAAAAAATTTTTCCAGGTCAAAGCTGGGGAGAACCTCCCCCTCTGCAGTGTGCATTACTATTAGTAGCCTGCTTCAGTCAGTGACTGTAAGCAAAATCAAGAAACAATATCCTGCCAGCATTAGAAGGGCATGTTTTCTGAAGGCATTGAGTGAATATAAATTTCTTGATATCCTTGTACAAACACTTGTGATGCCACTGTAATTCTGTATTTACAGTGCAAGTCTTGTAACTCCGGGGAACAGGTTGCTTGCAATTGTTTTTTGTAAGTGACTGTGAATACATGGAGGGGTACAGGATACTACAGCAACTTGATGGTAACATGGAACCCATATCTTTGTCTAACCACATCCTTGTATTCTCAGGCAGCCTTGTCTGCGTTTGATTCAAACTACCTTCCCTGGAAGTTGGAGCAAGCTCGGTCAGTTTAGCCTAATGTAGATGCAAGAGCATAAAAATCCTAATGCCTTCTGCTGGCTAAGTAGTGGGAATGGTAACTTCCACACGACTGACAGTGATAATTGGTCTGTCTTTTAAACATTGACTATTATGGCTAAGCAAGAAAAAGGAGAAAGTCTAGTTACAGCTTTACACTGGTAACGTCCTTGGTGTGGGGGTTTTCATCCCAGTACAGGACTCTTAAACCGTTAATTCCCAGAAGCAGTGTATAAACATGGAGTCCCTAAAATTGCATCTCTGTCAGGATGGATTTGCTATTTGAACATTAAGCCAGTTGTAGACAAGGTCCTGACATGGTGTATATAATATAGCAGCTCTGACTGACCTCCAGATCTGGCAGTTCTTCAAATCAATGCTCTTAATATGCAATGAACAGGTGTCTCTGCCTTTTGGATAATTGTCTTTTAAAGTTCTCTTCACAATGCTTCTGATAGGATGTCTACTGGAACATACTGCTATTTCAGCAGCAGGGTCAGCTGCATCTGTCTGCTCTTGCATGTTGTACAAATATAATGTGTTTGCTGATTCATGTGCAGAATAACTACAGTTCTTCATCCCCATTCAAAAAAGATGTTAAATAATCCACAGTCCAAGCTCCATTCTAACACTGCTAAAAACAGATGTTGGAAAACATCCTTCAGCAGTGCTACTAACTAATTTGGAGGTTGATATTACAGCCGAGCCTGTCCAAGCACAGAGTCTGAAATCACACCCAATAAATAACTTTTCTGCAAGTTTGAACAGCTATGAAGCTGCTTTGCTTATCCAGCCATTAAAAGCATAAGGGACTCTAAAAGAAAATCTAAAAACTGACTAAATATGTAAAACAAGGTCTTTTCCTTATCACATCTTCAATATTTGTCTGGCTTTTACAGGAGATAACAAGTTTCAAGCCGTTTAGCAATCTGAACTTGCAAAGCATTTACTGTCAATAGGAGATCAGTAAAAAGCTCACAGTCTCATTGTCACTTCCTGACAGGCACTAAATTGTGCTGACATTCATGCAGCTATTCCATAGGATATGTCCTAGATGAGCACTCACCCAGCTACTTATGTGTGGACATGTGTGAGGGTGAACAATAGCTTGGCTTCCAGGACAACTACAGTGCTTCAATCTTTTTTGACACTTTGCAGCCTTTCAATAATCACTAAATTCCTGACAGTGGTTCCTGAAAACTTTCCAAACTTTAGCTTTGGCTAGCTTTAGCTTACTCTCTAAAGAAGGTAGAGGACTTCTTGCTCCTCTCCCATGCTAACTTCCTAATTCCCCAATGATAGAGCAGGGAATTAAATTTATCACCTTTGTCAAACTGCCAATTTTAACAGGAATTGCCAGTGAATAATAAATGCTTTATGTTTCTCAGTTTGCTTTACTGCCTCCCCGTAACTTCTTATTGGGACAGTCAGTCTCCTTCCTTACTGATCTTTAAACCTGGCTTTGTCTGGCAGAAGTTTAACTTTGTCCTTCTCTTAAAAATGGCAAAGTCAGCATCAGTAACCCCAGGAATGTGAGGTATAAATCAGAAGCTATAAACCAGGTCTGTCATAAATTAGGCTTCTTCTAAACTATGAGATTTTGAAACCGTAATATCAAGGATCCCAAGTATGCATTAAACAGGAAAAGATTTGTTGTGTGACAAAGTCTAGGGGTGACAGCATTGTGTACCAATGCCTTAAAGATACGTGAATGTAGGTATGGCAAAGGATCACTGTATTAGTTCAGCATTTGTTC